ATTACTCAACAACGACTTACCACAAATTCGCTGAAAAGAGAGAGAATTTAGGCAAGCCTACCATATAACATGCAAACATAATATATGAACTCCCTACTACAAGCTCCCAAGAACATGTAGCAAGGAAACCATGATCGCGCGGTCCGCCATTTTGCCTGCCACAAGGCTGGAAAACAGAGAATCCACGGCAAAGTTACAACAAAAGATGAATGAGAATATCAACATATGACGTCCATCTAATGCCCGTGCGTAGAGAAAGGAACCATACATACAGATTGAGACTCTTTTACACTCATCGTAACGGCAGAAGAGCAAACTCGAAACGAACACCACGCACGTCAATTCAACAGAACGACAACATAAAAAGTGAGGTATGAGGTAGACGGCTAGAGTTACCTGTTCTTGGCTGTAGGGGGTCTGGTGGGACCCTGTAGGGGTGGTCTCACAAGACAAAACGAGTTTTTTGTTTTGTAAATATTTTTATTGAAAAATATAGTTACAACTGTTGTGGGATTTAAAAATGGACATTTTAATGCTTATATGTACCCCAAGGAGGACTTCTTCTGAAAAAAGAATTGAACATTGGGAACCGAAGGTTGTGACAATGATTCACGGACACCCAAGACCTTAATTTCGAACACTCTTCAGAATAACTCAATCCTGAAAGAAGACCATGGAATCTTAATGTCTAGACTGCACAGGTTATGTATGTCAAACTGTACAAGACTTGTACACAGCTAACAACCAACTTATACAGTAATATTTGTCCACAGTGCACAGGCATAGCTTAACAGCAGAGACAGACACACATACTAGCTGTTCAGAAGAGAGCAATAGTTCCATGTACAGGTTCCTACATCAGGGCCCCGTTCCAGCAATCATAGTGTTAAGGTGGTCATACCTACCATGTTTTAACATAGACTTGCGATAGTCGTAGCACTACGATGAGTTTGTCAAACAGGGTTAGTTAGATAGTGAGTGAGTGAGCGAGTCAGTGAGAGTGATAGGCATATGGCGGCGGTTTGTAAATAATCGAGTCTGGACCAGACAATCCAGGGATCAACAGCATGAACATTGGTCTACACAATTGGGATAGGATGACATATGACAACCAAGTCAGCGAGCATGACCACCCGATCCCGTTAGTCGCCTCTTACGACAAGAATGGATTACTGAAGATCAATTCTAACCCGGATCTTCACAGGTCGGGTGCTTTGTGAGGGCATGAAAGGGCAAGGCATTTCAGAAGCACAAGTGTCCATGTTTCAGTAAAGCCTCAGTTTAGTCTTTCTCTGCGACATGGATGCTGGATGCATTGTTAGTGAGGACATTCCACAGGGTTCATGCATGCAACCCAGGTTTTATTCCACAAAGTGATTGCAGTGCTGAGACAATCACAAATCCCATACTTTAGCACATTTATATGACTGTTGTAGTGGTAAGATCTTTGTGGAGTGAGTGAGTTCAGGTTTACGCCGCCTTTAGCAATATTCCAGGAATATCATGGCGGGGGACACCAGAAATGGGCTTCACACATTGTACCTATATGGGGAATCGAACCCGGGTATTCGGTGTGACGAGCAAACCCTTTAACCACTAGGCTACCCCACCGCCCCAGATCTTTGTGGAACTGGGTGCTGAATTCTTGTTCATCTCTTTATCAGTTGCACAAAGTTTTTAAATTAAAAACTCAGGTGTGGGATTTGTGGGATTTGGCATCTGGACAATGAGGACTTGCTGACACTGAACTTGATGATATGGACCTCATGACTTGGAGTTGTAGACCTTACAAACATGGCAATGTGGACCTAATGATTTAGGAATGTGGACTTTTTTACTTATACATGTTGACCTTATGGTTCAAACATGTAAGACATGGTCTAGACATGTTACGTCTTGAAAATCCAAATCCAAGATGATCTATATTCTTCACAAAGAATGCCTTGCATGAATACAGATTCAGCAAACACAGAGACTACATCTGAGCACTACTTTGAAAGAGTACGACACAAACTGACTGGAAGTCTATATATTGCTATAGAAGACAAAACCACACTGAGAACTAACCATCACATCAGTAGGTACAATACCCATGCAACACTGGCCTGTATACCTCCACATGCATACACACGCCTACAGACACACTGCAATACCTTGACCTAATCTACAGACACACTGCAATACCTTGACCTCACCTACAGCATCCGTTGTAATACCTTGACCTCACCTACAGCATCCGTTGTAATACCTTGACCTCACCTACAGTCTACACTGTAATACCCTGACCTCATCTACAGCATCAGTTGTAATACCCTGACCTCATCTACAGTCTACACTGCAATACCCTGACCTCATCTACAGCCTACACTGTGATACCCTGACCTCATCTACAGCCTACACTGCCATACCCTGACCTCATCTACAGTCTACACTGTAATACCTTGACCTCACCCACAGCATCCATTGTAATATCTTGACCTTGTCTACAGCCTACACTGTAATACCCTGACCTCATTTACAGCCTACACTGCAATATGCTGACCCCATCTACAGCCTACACTGTAATAACTTGACCTCATCTACAGCCTACACTGTAATACCCTGACCTCATCTACAGCCTACACTGTGATACCCTGACCTCATGTACAGCGTACATTGTAATACCCTGACCCCATCTACAGCCTAAACTGCAATACCCTGACCTCATCTACAGCCTACATTGTAATACCCTGACCCCATCTACAGCCTACACTGCAATACCCTGACCCCATCTACAGCCTACACTGTGATACCCTGACCTCATCTACAGCGTACATTGTTATACCTTGACCTCATCTACAGCGTAAACAGTCATACCCTGACCTCATCTACAGCCTACATTGTAATACCCTGACCTCATCTACAGCCTACACTGCAATACCCTGACCCCATCTACAGCCTACACTGTGATACCCTGACCTCATCTACAGCGTACATTGTTATACCTTGACCTCATCTACAGCGTACACTTTAATACCTGATACCTGACCTCATCTACAGCGTACACTGCAATACCCTGACCTCATCTACAGCCTACACTGTTATACCCTGACCTCATCTACAGCCTACACTGTAATATCCTGATCCCATCTACCGTCTACACTTTAATACCCTGACCTCATCTACAGCGTACACTTTAATACCCTGACCTCATCTACAGCCTACACTGTAATACCCTGACCTCATCTACAGCGTACATTGTTATACCTTGACCTCATCTACAGTGTAAATTGTTATACCCTGACCTCATCTACAGCGTACATTGTTATACCCAGACCTCATCTACAGCCTACACTGATATACTCTATCCTTCGAGTGGGAGAACCTAAAAGTGATGCAGCTGAAACCTACAGGCACAGGAGAGACAAGATAAACCTAGACTCACAATCAGATGGAACTGGAATTTGTATCAATCATTAGCTGAGAGACACAACACTGCACAGCAAATTGCAGCTTCAATGCTTTCTCCATGAGATTATCTCACTATCCTGATAAACCACAAACCCAGAATTTATGTGAACATAGTAACTACTGGACCACCTATTAGGATAAAGCCAACTGGACTGCTAGCCCAAAGATCATCTACTTTACACTTAAGAACTAAAGAGCTGAACCCCACACTATCATTATGAAGATTAATTACTGCAACTCTCGTAACTGGCTTCTGCAGAAATCAAAGAAGTCACAATCAGAAATTTTGGAACTCTCAACCCATTTTCAAATTTTAGAAGCCTGAATATGTATGATATACTGAGTCACAATATTGAGATAGTTCCAGCTGTTAGTCATGCAAATGTTTAGGGCTGTCACCTGTGATGTAATGAATAACCAGTTGTTAAATATATACAGCTTAACTCTATAATTACTTCAAAACAGCAAGATTCCATCAGAGATAGTTTTGTTAATATTAGTTCCCACAGGGCTCGTACAAAATTTTAATTTTAAAATTCAAGGCCTTTCTAGGTTTTCAAATTTATCTCCCCGAATTTCAAGGGCATACAATATAATATTTTATTACCCTTATTACAGTGGTCCATACGATAGGTCACACATCTGATTTTCAATTTGATATTGATTACAGAATAAACTTGAGCACATTCAGCCAAGCACTGAAAGGGAGATAACTCAATGGTTATTTTTGTAAAATGTACTTTTAACTATGACTATCTCTTAGGTACTTTAATAAAGATGGGGACTGAGGTACTTTGATGAAGATGGGGATTCGTCAAGACGATTTAAAGGCTTTCCAAGGCAGATAACCCATTTTAAAAAACCCCAATTTCAATGAATTCAACCCTGTTCAGAAAAATGCATCTGTTGACAGACATATATGAATCTAACCATATTAAACCCTAATTGTTAGTCCAGTCGAGCAAAAGCTTAGCAAATCAAACATCACAAATATCCTCCAACTTAAAGTATGGCGAAATGTCATGCACTAGCTAGAACTGGCATGCATGTCATCCAATTTGTAAAAAAGAAGCAAGTTGATGAATACACACTGTTGACCAGCATTGCAGCATTAGTATCCATGCAAATAGTCACAGATGTTTCAAAGGTAAACCATTTTGGACATTTGGAGACATAGTTTCCCTTTGGGAGACTCATACTTCAATTTGGAGGAGATTTGTGCTGGCACGAGAACCCATAAAAACATATTAAAGTGAGTTTAGAATATTCGTAAAACAACTTAAACAATAAATTAAATAAATCGAAAGTTGAATGAAATATGAAACAAGCAGCTTGTGTGCACAGTTCTGTAATGATGTGAGAGAACTTTTACAAATGCTTCGAGCAAAGCTGATTTTCGCACTTGGTGTATGTAACACAAAACTGAAGAGCACTATACGAACTATTAAAGATTCTTGAATTAACTGAATTATGCACTATTTCAATGGCTGTTTGTGTGGATTCTGGTACTGGCAGAGTATAGGAAGCTTCAAGCAGAACAGCATTCTTACTGGAATATTTATTAGCATAATCATCAGGCAGTATCTGTTCATGCTTGTATGGAGGAGAACGGATAGGAGAGGACACAACGGGTGACGTGTGTCCTGACTGCCCGCGGCTGGTGGCACCTGAATCTGATCCCCCTTCTGTTGATAGACGGCGTCGGTACAGCGCCTCGTGGCTCCCTCCAAGGGAGTTCTGTGGCTTCTTCTTGTTGGATCTACAAGTACAAGATGGGCGAGTGTGGGAAGTGGAGGGGGTGGATGGCAATTAAAAGTACTTTACTGTTTGAGTGAGTGAGTTTGGTGTAAAAGTAAAGAGATTGAGTGAGTGTAGTTTATTTTACTCTGCTTTTAGCAATATTCCAGCAATATCAGGGGTGGACACCGGAAATGGATACAAATTTTACCCATGTGGGGAATCAAACCCGGGTCTTTGGTATGATGAACAAAGACTTTACCCCATCACACCAAAGGCATTTAAGATTATTGCACTTACATAGCAATTGCATGCACATATATGTGTGTTTGTGTGACCCAAAAGCCTATTTATAACACTAGACCACTGAGATATGGATGCCACAGTTTACCATGGCTTATCTGCTCAAATCGAGTTGGCCAGTTATTGTCAAATTCCTTGGATACTGAGGCAAAGTAACAACAAATACAATGACGAACCCATGATCACACTCTGCAATATTTCAGTTATATATGATATTGGTTGTGAGTGATGAGTCTGGATCCAGGGATTGATGTCATGAACAGTATCATCTACACAATTTGATTCCGATGACAAACAAGTCCCCAAAGGTGACCTCTGATCAAGTAAATCTCCTCTAACAACAAGTGCCACTTGACAAGGACCAATATTCTTACCCATAATCTCCACAAGTTTGTATATTACAGTGAGTGAGTGAGTTTAGTTTTACGCCGCACTCAGCAATATCCCAGCTATATGGCAGCGGTCTGTAAATAATCGAGTCTGGACCAGACAATCCAGTGATCAACAGCATGAGCATCGATCAGCGCAATTGGGAAACCGATGACATGTGTCAACCAAGTCAGCGAAACTGACCACCAGATCCCGTTAGTCGCCTCTTACGACAAGCATAGTCGCCTTTTATGGCAAGCACATGGGTTGCTGAAGACCTATTCTACCACGGATCTTCACGGGTCTTGTATATTACAAGCTTCTATAGCAACTTACTTTATAGGATCTATCTCAATGACTCTGTTGGCAAGCTGGGACTCGTGAGACTTGCTCTTCGTGATGGTCACAATATCTGGAAACAACTTCAAACTGCGAGCAGGTGGTGGGGTACCTCTAACCTTGGCCATGCCCCGGCCCCCCATGTCTGCCACCAGGGGGTGGAGTCGGAGGGGGAGTGTACTTCTCCTTTATGTGCATGGTGGGGAGAGGGGAAGAAGGAGTGCTCTGGGGAGGGGTGGGAATTTCAGTTTGGGTGGACCCAACAAGCCCCTCTGATGGGAGGGAGGTTGTTGAGGGTCTCTGGTGGAACTTGGGGGAGTTCCCGTTACATGGACTGTTGGATGCTGACTTGCTGGATGTCAAGCCAAGCAAATCGGTAAAATGCCAGTCTCCGTATGTATCCTCCTGCCCTTGTAACTGCATCTCTGCAAATACAGAAACAGCGGTCAGTTATACAGAAAAGTAACCATCAATCATACCTTGTGTGGATTAGGGTGATTACAAAAGTTGAACACCTCACAAAACAGGATCACGTTCACCTATAAGAACACTGCTTGAAGAGGCCACATTGACCAACTTCTGGATTAAAACAACCAATTCATCTTCAAAACATCCATGCACAAGAGAAGTAAGATGCACAATGAACCAAAATGTCAACACAAAGTCTTCATCTTCTAGCTTAAAGAGTTAGTGGGTTTAGTTATACGCCACACTCAGCAAATTTTCAAGCTATATGGCGGCAGTAAATTATCGAGTCTGGACCAGACAATCCAGTGATCAACATCATGAGTATCGATCTACACAACTGGGATACAATGACATGTGTTAACCAAGTCAGCGAGTCTGACCACCCGATCCCGTTAGTCAAGCCTCTTATGACAAGCATGGGTTGCTGAAGACCAAATCTAACCTGGATCTTTATGAATGGGCTGCAATTAATCCACTAGTAGGCGTAACATCACACTTATCACAAATACTTGGTAATGAATATGAATGTTGGGCAATGAATACAATAAGTCAGAAGTTGATGCATTATCAAATATAAACAGTAACCATATGATAACAAAATGAATATTTGACCATGTTTTCACCATGTTGATAATGTTAATTTATCACGACGATGACCAGTGATCAATGACCAGATTACTCTCAAATTACGTATGTAAGAGTGTTGGCTATTATCCTCCCTGGCCTGGAAATATTCCATTTAGCATATCTTGTTTTGATAAAGAACACACAAATTCAATAGAAAATACTCCTATAAATATATGCGATGCTACTGATCACGAATAATGAATTTATGAAGAGATACAGTTCAATTCACAGAAAATACATATTTCAGCTACACGATGATGGCCTGTAAATAACTGAGTCCACACTATCCCAGTGTGAGCTCCTATTCACAATGTTGGGTAATGATATCCTGGGTTTGACGTGATGTACAAATGTACAGGCAGAAAACCCAATATACCACATCCAAAGTCATTATCTGAATGTACACTACAATACACCATTTCAATACTTTACAGGACCCCTTGCATCAAGGACCATAAAATATATTTATAGCAGTCCCCTGGACACCCACGTTTGTATGTCAAGGTAAAACCCTGGATATCACACAAAAATAGCTAGGGATATATGTAAATTGTGAAATTATGAACAATGATCTATTTATTCATTGACACACTGTTAAAATATCAATCATAAAAATACCAATATCCCTAACTTTGTTTGTCCAGTATATATTCTTGCCATCTAACCCAGAATCTCCATGTGGACCAGTTGAAAGTATTCTACTTTGCCTAAAACAAAGCAACACTGTCAGCAATGTACACCTCCTCACCTGTGCAGTTCTTGAGATTCTTGAGAGCAAGGTTGAGTCGGCGAGTCTCATCACTATCTGCCTGATAGCGCGCTAAGAGAGATGCCACATCAGCCTCCGACATCTCCAGCAGGCTGTCCAGAGTTATCCCCCTTTCCCTGATGCCCTGTACAGGAACAAACGACAAAGTGATCTCAGCACTAAGATGCCTCCCATACCTTACCATAGACTTTTGAGTCATAGCGCTGAGGTAGTTTTGTACAATAGCAGCCTTAGTACCAGTGTACAAAGGGATCATAGTGCTAAGGTCATCCTAACTCTCATACACTACCTTAGATGTACAACAGTCGTAGCACTATGGTTGTTTCCGTATAACTTTGACCAAGAAATACAATTATAAAATATATATCAACAAAAAAAAGGTGTAATTTTGACCCAAAAAAACTCACAAAATGTTTCCAGGGGAGGAAATAACTTTAAAATTTCTAGTGTACTCCGGAACAGTGGCACATGTAAAATTACTTGCCCTGATAATTTTTCCACTATACCGGCCATTTTCTAGTTGATTTTTTAAAATAAACAACATAATTAACATTGGAAAGTCAACTGGACACTGGTACAGTGTGATATACAAATTTGCTTGCCTGACAGATAAAAAACACAGGACTCGGACGTCGGGCAATGGGTTATTTCCACCCATGGTTTCACTGGTTTATTTGGGTGGGTGACAGTGTTAAACAAATTTTCATTAACAACAGATGTTTTCCTTTGCAATTCATTAACAAAACGGCATACTTTACACACTATAAATTGGAATCCCTAACTGTCCAACCCCATTTTGGGATTGCTGTTATCAGAACCATAACATTATTTTTATGGTCTTTAAATGATGAAATAGGATCTGTATGTACAATAAAAAGTAACTCACTGTCAAACACTGAAGCTCACATATTTAAGAAATACAGTTCAGTCTACCACCATGTAGAGTGTAATAAAACATACTTTCGCCCTGAACTATTATAACGTTAAAGCACGAGGACGCTTAGGCTTTTGTTAACAAGGGCACGTATAATTTCAAGGGGGCAGACTAGAATGGCGCAGTGATGCCAAAACAGAGTGACGTAATGCAAAAAGTGTACATGATCGTCTGATAAAGTACTGTTGGCGCCTTTGATCTTTCACCGAAGCATCTTAGAAATTGCAATATGGGGAAATGGCACAAATGTCTGTCAATGATCATGTTGTGCAGGTTTTGTCTAGGTTTTATACAGATTGCACTACCCTGAATCACGTATCAAAACAGTGGGTGATAGCATGAGCAGTGACCTATGCTGTCGGAGTAAAATCAGCTAGATGATGCAAACAACTCAAAGTCTTGTTGTACGACCTTGAAGACTAGCAAGATCTACTGTGTACATATTCTACCTCTGGACTGGCTCAAGAACCCATTCACCTGGCAAGTCAAACTGTGCTCCAGGTTTACCTGACATAAACCAGGGCTCCAGATAAGGGCCGTATCGGTGTATGTACAGATATAAAATAAGCACGATACGGCAGGAAATAATTCAGAAAGCGTAGCAGATATGCACCACAAGATTGGTGTACGGTCTTAGAATCATTTACAGAAGTTATTACCTGAAAAAGTATTGTTTTTGTTAATGACCTGTTTACACAAGAGTAGCAATGTTGTGGTTCATAAACGAAACACAAGATTACTGATACTCCATTTAATTCCATTCAGTTCTCTAAATGTACTCTTATTGTTTTCCAGTACGCATATGTTGAAAAAATAAGGAGTACGTACTCCTGATCATGAAAAAATCTCTGGAGCCCTGATAAACATCTATTTGTTGTAATGGTATATTATATATACACAGCAAAAAAAGTCAAGCACCCCCCTGATTTTTCTCAGAGGGGTGAACTTCATGGAAGCATGGTATGAAACTGAGAAAAAGAAGAGAAGCAAAACAAATTTTAATTAAAAGAACAATCATTTGGTCATTTGGAACAGAAGTTTTGTAACGGTATGAGCACTAAAAGTGCATGAAAACAAAGAGTGAAATTGAAATGGAATTGCATCCAAAAGACATGTGTGTTGAAGTATCATCAGTTCAAGGTCTTGGGGTGTGCCACCCGGTAAAAGCAGCTTAAATAAAGTGGATCAGTGTCCCAGTAATCACAAAACATCAGTTACGTGTGCTGCCACCACGTGCCTGAATAACTGCAGCCACTCTTCTTGGCATACCCCTAACCAGGTTCCTTAATTGTTCCATCGGTATCCGCTGCCACTCCTCGTGAAGAACTGCCTCCAGATCCCCCAGGTTTTGTGGAGGAGGATTCCTTCTTTGTACCCGACGCCCCATGATGTCCCAAACATGTTCAATGGGATTCAAATCAGGAGACATTGATGGCCAGGGAATTCGTGTCACAGCATTATTTGCCAGATGTTGGTTTACAGCATGTGAACGATGAGGTCGTGCATTGTCGTCCATGAACAAGGGTCTTGTGGCAAGTCTGTGGTCATCGAAATGATCAATAATTACAGGATCCAGAACCTCCTGAATGTAGTGAGCACCTGTGAGTGAACCTTGTATAGTCACCAAATCCAGTCTACAGTCGTAGGGAGAAGCCTCCCCAAACCATTCACAGATTCCCCGCCAAATGGTACTCTTGGCAAAATGTTCTTGGGGGCAAGATGTGTATTCCTAGTCCTCCATACGCGGGCTCTCCCATCCACAACATGCAGGAGGAAACGACTTTCGTCGGTCCAGTGTATTCTCCTCCATGATCGTAGGTTCCACCTCTGCCTGTGCTGACACCATAACCTACGCTGGCGGCTTGTGGTGATTTGTGAGCTGTGGACGCCTGATGACCCTTCTGGCTCTTAATCCAGCAGCTTTGAGGCGGTTTCTCACAGTCTGGTTGCTCAAGCAGCGATGAGGTAACCAGGCCTGTTTCAGAAGGGTGCTTGAACCAAAAGGCTGGCGTCTCACATGCCGTAACAGAGCTCTTCCTCCTGGGGCGTGGTAGCTTTTGGTCTTCCAGAACGGGGAAGGTCCTTTACATCATTTGTTTGCACATACTTCCTCACCAGACGGCTTATTACGGTGTAGTGGAATCGAGTTCTTCTTGCAATTTCCTTGTAAGAAAGTCCTGCCCGATGAAGTCCAATGATCTACCATCTCAATGCCTCGGAAATTCTCCTTCGTGCCATTGTCAATCAGAAGTGCAAAAACAGTGATCATGAAGTCGTTACCGATCCTTAAATACCCAATGCTTGTGGTTGTTTGAAACTTTGGTGTGTGCAACACATGGGTGGCGGGATTCACGTGCATGTGGCTGCGTTCGTGAGAGACATTTTCTAATCAGTAACACCTTATTTTATCACCAATATACCACTCTTTGATTTGCCATCATGAGGACTGAAATTTTGTTCCGACATATACCGATAATTCAGCTTTAATTTGAGGGGTGCTTAACTTTTTTTGCTGTGTATATATGTGATTAAGGTAACGGTAAAGGCAAGGTCAAGGTCAAGGACATATTCTACCCAGCATAACAATAAGGTGCACACAGAAGGATCCAATGCCCTCAATCTGTTCTACCAGGTATCCTTCAGGGAACATGCTGAGGGTGCAAAGGTCTTGATTTTCATACCATGCACTCTTCAAGCTACACACATAAGGGGGCAACATCCTTGATCTGATTTTGAAGTGGCAACTTTTGGATACTCCTAAAAGTGTGTTTGCCACCTGGGCTTGCTCTACCTAGTATCATTCAGGATACACACAAAAAGAAGGTGTATGATCATGTCCCTGGAACTATTCTGTCTTTCACCATTCAGGGTACATACAAAAGGGTGCACCTCCCTGGACCTATTCTGCTTGGCACGATTCAGGGTACAAACAAAATTATGCAGCATTTTCTACCAGCCACCATTTGGGGTACAGACAAAAGGGTGCATCCCCCTGGACCTTTTCTACCAGGTGCCATTCAGGGTAGACACAATAGAGTGCATCTCCTTGGAATTATTATAAGAGTCATCCTTGGGGTACATGCAACCAGGGTAGAACATCCTGCACTGATACTACCAAGCACCACTCATGGCAGATACTAAAGGGTGCATCTTCCTGAAATATTCTACCAGGCATCATTCCTGGTACATGCAAAAGGGTGCATTTCTCTGGAACTATACTACCAGTCACCGTTCTGGGTACATCCAAAAGGATGCATCTTCCTAGGCCTGTTCTACTCGGCATCATTCCGGGTACACACAAAAGAGTGCATCTTCCTGGGCCTGTTCTACTAGGCATCATTCCGGGTACATCCAAAAGGGTGCATCTTCCTGGGCCTGTTCTACTAGGCACCATTCGGGGTACATACAAAAGGGTGCATTTCTCTGGAACTATACTACCAGTCACCATTCTGGGTACATCAAAAAGGGTGCATCTTCCTAGAACTGTTCTACTAGGCATCATTCCGGGTACACACAAAAGAGTGCATCTTCCTGGGCCTGTTCTACTAGGCACCATTCCGGGTACACACAAAAGGGTGCATCTTCCTGGGCCTGTTCTACTAGGCATCATTCCGGGTACACACAAAAGGGTGCATCTTCCTGGGCCTGTTCTACTAGGCACCATTCCGGGTACACACAAAAGGGTGCATCTTACTGGGCCTGTTCTACTAGGCACCATTCCAGGTACACACAAAAGGGTGCATCTACTAAGGGTCTACTGTTCTACTAGGCATCATTCCGGGTACATACAAAAGGGTGCATCTTCCTGGGCCTGTTCTACTAGGCACCATTCCGGGTACACACAAAAGGGTGCATCTTCCTGGGCCTGTTCTACTAGGCACCATTCGGTACATACAAAGGGTGCATCTTCCTGGGCCTGTTCTACTAGGCATCATTCGGGTACATACAAAAGGGTGCATCTTCCTGGGCCTGTTCTACTAGGCACCATTCCGGGTACATACAAAGGGGTGCATCTTCCTGGGCCTGTTCTACTAGGCATCATTCCGGGTACATACAAAAGGGTGCATCTTCCTGGGCCTGTTCTACTAGGCACCATTCCGGGTACACACAAAAGGGTGCATCTTCCTGGGCCTGTTCTACTAGGCACCATTCCGGGTACATACAAAAGGGTGCATCTTCCTGGGCCTGTTCTACTAGGCACCATTCCGGGTACATACAAAAGGGTGCATCTTCCTGGGCCTTATATACTAGGCATCATTCCGAGTACATACAAAAGGGTGCATCTTCCAGGGCCTGTTCTACTAGGCACCATTCCGGGTACATACAAAAGGGTGCATATTCCTGGGCCTGTTCTACTAGGCATCATTCGGGGTAAATACAAAAGGGTGCATCTTCCTGGGCCTCTTCTACTAGGCACCATTCCGAGTACATACAACGAGGTAGAGCATCCTGATCTGATGCTACCAAGCACCATTCAGGGAGCAGCAGCTCAGGCAAAAGTATGATTGACATTAAGTGTTAAAATAAAGAAGCTGTAATATTTCAATATTTCTGGGGACCCCTGGATTCTAATCCAACAGGAGAAACCCTTCTTCCAACACACTGCAGTGATCATTCTCCTGAACTACACTGTATAGTGGTAGTAATTCAGACCAGGAAGTCACAACAGGTGGTACAATAACATCATTCAACAGTATTTCCTTGGCCTCTAGTATGAAGGTGTTGCCACTTCCTGATCGCTATCATCACAAGGAAATGTTGCCGATGGAATAAGCTTCCTAAACATGGACACACCTTCGACCAGTTATATCCTGAACCAATAGCCTGAGACAGTGTCAACAACAGCTGTGTCCAGTCGAAATATTATTTGTCTGAGATTACCACTCTTGGGATGATTTTAGTTCATTTCACTTTTGATAAAACCCAAACAGTGAGTGAGTAAGTATGGTTTTACACTGCTTTTGGCAATATTCCAGCAATATCATGGTGGAGGACATCCGGAATGGGCTTCACACATTGTACCCATATGGGGAATCGAACCTGTGTGTTCAGAGTGAGGAACGGATGCTTTAACCATTAGCCTACCCTACCAGCCCTAAACCCCAAAACCGCCATATACAGTGTTCACGAATGGTGTTTCGAAGTCACAGGACATTTCAGGTTTCAGATGTCTGTCTGACCCATTGAAAATGCACAGGACCCATGGAATAATATTAAGCACACATTTCAGATTTAATATTTCTTATAATTGACATTGAAATTATTAACAAACATAAGATTTATAAACAGCAAACAAGTGTCACATGTCACATAAAACAACTTCAGTCAAAGTCATTGTGAAATATACAGTCAGACACTGGGGCTGGCGGGTTGTAGACTTCTGTCTGACCGTTGGCGAATCTGCCGGATTTGTCAGAGGGTCAGACGCTATTCATGAACACTGCCATATAGCCGGAATATTGCTGAGGGCAGTGTTAAACAACAAAGCAACTAAACCCCAAAGAATACACTTATTTACATATATAACACATCACTTGTATATAGCTCACAACCGTGTGCGAGCTTCACATTATGTCAGAAGCACACATGAAATCTCCAAATCTCCATCATCTTAGCTGACATAGAATATTAATATTATTGTGCAGAATTCCTACCTGCTTTTGAAACTACTAGTCTAAAGGACTGGTGACAATAAAAATTACCAAAAGTCAAAGGTTTCGTTGGTCGCAAATACATAGCATGAGTTTTTTCTAGTGTCATTGCCATTGAAATTCCTTGACCAAACATCTTAAATTAATGAACACTAGAAATGGGCTTCACACATTGTACCCATGTTGGGATTCGAACCCGGGTCTTTGGCGTGATGAGCCAATGCTTTAACCACTAGGCTACCCCACTGCCTCCGATGATGACTGTTGTAAATCATGGTAGTACAAATTCACTAAAAGCATTAGAAATTTTAGGGCTTCTCATCCAGCATTACAACGAAGATGCCCAAGATGAAATGATAAATGCTGACCTCTACTGCATCCTTTGCCACGCCCACCACTTTCAGCCATTGGTCAGTCTTGGGATACTCCCCGAGTTGTTCAGGCACCACGTCAGTTGCCAGGCGTGCCTTAGCGACAAGCTGGTCACTGAATAGCTTCACTAGCTTGCTCTGCAATAAACAAAAATCAGCCTCTGAAGGTTGACTAGGCAGCAGTACCTACAGTCTGGAGTCTCAGAAGTTCCATTAGGGCATGGTCAAAATGTAAATGTCTAATAAAAGTTGAAATTTAAGATTTCACTTTGAATGGAACATATGAGTATATGTTGAGCCCCAGTACAATGAACTGCTAATGCCATGTACAAATATACACATATAGGGTTGGCTATTTATATAGATCATGACAATCAATAATTGTAAACAAAATATTGATGAATTATCAATAAATATCAGGGAAGAAACTTGGAGCAAAAAATGCAAATTCCACAAAATCAACATGATCATGGCTGAGTTGAGACATAAAGGATTACTACCAAAAACAGTATTCTGAAAACAAATGGAAGAAGCCCTTGAATGAAGACATTACACCATGTATTGTGAGTGTGACGTAAAACATTATTTCAACATTGTTGTTTAAGTTAGACATTATTGATGACACAATTTTCATACTGATAACTGATGATAATTCTTTCAATTAATGAAATTTGTTATCAATCTTTTTATCCAACCTTAACAAGTACCATAACATACTAGTATTACACTTCATCACATTTTCGAAAAAAATACTGTGACAACAGAAAAGTTTTATACAGACTTGATCATGAAGGCACTCTATTACAAGGAATAAAAAACTTGTATAAGTATTTTTGCAAGCAACTTCAAACCAAAGGAACCATTACACACAAGATTATTTTTTAATAATATCACAAGATTGTTCATGACTTTGCTCATTATTTCTAAACATGTAGTCTTTAAATGATTAATCAGACAATGTTCTTCACTGTTTTGTGTGCTAATACCAGACTCAAAATATTTAAGCATAACAACTGAGAATGGATGCCAACTACATGAATTATAAGTCCCAAAGGATGCAATGACTGATTGACTCATTGGTAACAGTTCCGTTGTAGCATTCAAGTCAATTTAGATAAATATTTCTAACAAAAACTAACAGCATGATCAATGTACAAACTGTCCATAGATTGAACAAATATTACAAAGTTATCAAGTTGGAAGGAATCCCCCAAAACAAAAGTTATTTTGTCTAAAATTGGGATAATTTATGACAGTCAGATTGTTCAAATCATCCAAATTCTATGGTAATTAGCACCTAAAAAACTGCTATGTTTTAAGCTCAGTTGGCTAAAGCAAAAAAATATTTTTGTGTATCATAATATTTTTGCGTATAAGACATGGAAATGAGTTAGAAGTCATAGCATACATGTTCTGCTTCATCAACTGGTTAACAAATAACGGTTAAAACTTAAAATATCACAAGAGAAGCATTTACTTCATCCAACTAACTAAGCACGAAACAGATTTCCGTATATTTGAACAAAGTATTATTGAGTGACACCATAAAGTGTATCTAATATGGTTATCTTGAGACTTGATTGAAATTAGAAACAAGTCACCTAACTTTTTTATTAGGTGTTACTGAAAGACTCCACTGAACTGCCTCCAATACAATTCATCCTTCAACCTATGTTTTTATACTGTATGTTAACATGATATTTTTAATATATTCAGATAATTGATTATTTAACATCTCCTTACTTATAACATGAAACTTGAAACTGGGTGAAAAGACTGCTTAACAAAATGTAGGACCTTACTCAGTGAAATATGTAGTGGTAATTCCAATTTGATAATCAATGTGCATTTCCATCAGAAAGACATCTTCCAAAGTTTCATTGCAATATTTGTAATAGTTTATTTGATATCTGCCTGGTTAAGATCAAACATGAGTAAATGCAAATTTCATCAATGTGATCTGTACCTTATATTTTTTGCCACAAAAGGCTATGAATTACATACAACTAGTTTTCCTTTGCAGTTGTTCTTTTCTAATTGCATCTAACATTGATCAGTTCAGTCTGAAACTAAGGGATAAATGTGTGATGAGTTATTTCCCAATTTTCTTACTTTATTCGTTCATGTTGTTAGCTAACTTAAAACTTGTAACTGTCTTACATCAGTATATGTTAATGAATACAAAAGTCACAAAATGGCAAGCAAAAAGGTTTCAAGGCCTGTTTCCAGCAAAGTACAGCAACGTATGTTTAGCTTTTCTATCTACTTTATTGAAATAAAAGTTTCTGAGCAAGAATTTCTAAGAAAATGGAATTCTGTTCACATTTCACATTTGTTATCATTCATTAATCTACCATCTACCTTTTTCAGGAAAAAGCTAGTGTTGAAATCTTAGCCAATTCTCAATATTATCACAGAGCTTAATATGTATACACCTCACATCTGTGACATGGTGTCATCAATGGAGAATCACATATTCATTACACATGTGAAGATCAGAGCTAGAACTGGTCCTCAGCAACCAATGCTTTCCATAAGAACCAACTGTGCCAACTAAAGGATGTGACTAACAGGATTGGGTGGTCAGGCTCACGGACTTAGTTGAAGTGTGTCGATGTATCCTTATTATATAGATTGATGCTCATGATGTCAATCACTGGATTGTCTTGCCCAGACTCACTTAATTACAGACTGCCATCATACTGCTGGAGTGTTGCATCAGGTTATGTTAAACAATAAGGATAGATGCATATAACCAAAGCAATGGATTTCACACCAATGCCTGTTGTAATAAGGTTCCCTGATCACTGATTGATGAAGAAGTGAAACAAATCTTAAACTTGCTGAATAAATGAGCTATATCAACCATGATCAGTCAAAACACAGTTATCTTGAACAAGAACATCAGTTTCTTAACCATTATGAACAAGAATATCAGTTTCTTAACCATCATGAAATAATGTCATGCTATTTTTGCCCTTACTCACTGTATCAATTAAGGTGTGGTTGGAAAAAGGGATAGAATTTCTTGCCAACACATAATACCAATGTTTCAAAATCTGTTCAGGATTTAAAATAACAAGTTAATGTCAACATATATCACACATAAATTTTAATCTGACAATCAGTAATATTGCAATGTGCAGGAATGTCACCTGCCTTACTTGATGCGGTAAGGTACAGTGTCTCCTATTATGAACCGATTAATATAAACATCAAAGAAAGGGACGTGTTATCAACGCTCATTAATCCTAGTAATAGATATAACTGGCAGTAAGATTGCTTGTACTGCACACAGCACCTTGCTGGTGCTGACGACTATTTGATCGGGAACAAATGTCAAAGATACACTGTAGCCGTGTATAGGGAAGTGACTGATATGCAGATAATTCAAAGCGACACAGGCTGCTATTCTATCATTATGGAATATATTGAATCTATCACCTCCGTATCTCTTATTTCCTTCTGGGTAATTTGCTCGGTCGTAGCACATTGTGTCCTTAGTCCCACGAGCTGTTTCGCAGTAAAGTCAATCATAAACTGAACCATCTTGCATGCGTTGATCGCCTGCTCCACGGGATCTTGCATATCAAAATCACACGACATTTTCACCACGACTAAGATGCAGGTAGTTCCTCAAACATATTTTCTTCTTAATTATCAATCCAAAATGTAATCAGTGCGTGAAGAAGACCATTCTTGGTGAATATTTATGCCGCAATTTGACAGCCTCGTACCAAGGAAAACAGCGGCCATATTGACGATTAACTCTCGCGTTCACGTGATCACAAACGAGATATCGAATTGTTTGCCGCGAAATTTCAGTGACAGGTGCTCCTCGATACATAAGGATGTTGGATAAAACTGATTCGAAGGACAGTTCGAATTTGCCATGGTAACCAATTCTTTTGAATTTCATAGTAGCTTAAACTGTTTGCTGCAATTAACCGTTACAATCACTGTTAATGTAACGTTTCACGATAATGGTGTTGCTCAGTATGTTGTCCTATTTTCGTTCAACACTAAAATAAAATGTTTGGTCCGGAATGCCTCCATAATCATGTTCATACATTTTATGACAAGAGTGCAGTTTATCAGACGCAGCTATTGTAGCTTAAATAAAGGCTCAGACTGCAAACTCTGACCCTTGCTTCGCAGATCATGATATCAGGTCTGCCTCTTCGATCATTTTTAGGTTAATTGTGTTAGGTACCATCGTGTACCCCTCTGACAAAGAGTGAATTAGGGCGGCTTGCAATGCCATTTAAAAAGTGATCAAATGTAACAGTAAATACATATTCTAGTACTTCTGTCAAGTTGAGTCCCCCAGATTCCACAACCACACTCAGACATGTTATTGCCTGCACATTGAGTCAGCAAATTAACATTCACAACAACTCAGTGAAACCTGTTAATCCTCTCACAACAATGAAAACAGTAGGGAAATTATGATGAGTAGACTAATTTTGTCTGATCCGCCGACAAAGTTTACCTGTACAAACACTTATGGTATATAAACCTCAAGAAGGTAAGAAGAAATCATTCAGCATCAACCATGGCTCTATGCGTTGTATGTGTGAAAGAAGTGCGTCCTAGACAACATGCCATCCAGTGCGACAGCTGCGATCAGTGGTAGCATCGCCTTTGCGACACAGGGATCGACACATTCTAAGTAAAAGTTATAAACATTCTAAGTAAAAATCAAACTTAATATATACTATTGTTCAATTATTAATACACGTCTACGAAATCAACGTCTACGAAAGAGTCTGGGTTACGAATCCACCGCGTCTACGAACTGGTTCAGTCTACGAAATCACCGTATCCCATGTACCCTGACCAAAATCAGAATACAGAAACGTACCCATGGATGATTCCATTCTGCATTGTGGAGTTTCCTTGATCGGAACTGTCATACTGTTGTATTAGATGCATTTGATATCGTTTTATAAGCATACACAGTAACAAATATTTCACGGTGCACAACATACACCACTCGCAATCAGCTGAACGGGAACAACTACATACGGTTTCGTTTTTGGGTTGTGGAATATGGACTCGTCTGTTGTTTAGGATACCGGGTACGTTTCTGTAGTTTGTCTTTGTATACAGAAACATACCTGGGGTACATATCTGTAGTACCTGTGCCGACGACCCCTTCAGCGTACATTCCACTGTGGGAGCTGTGCCAAGTTACACTTGTCAGAGTGGTTCACAAGTATCTGATCAAGTGACCAGTTGTCTGACCTCTGTTTTTGCATAAGAAGCAGTGGCTGAGTGGGTTAGATTGCAGACATTGTCTGCTGTCAGTTAGGTGCCTGACTCAGAGTCAGAGGGTAGGTTCTTGAATCCTTAATTCCACTCAACCCCCAAAAGTACAAAAATCTCTACTTTGCTCAGAACGTGTTATCCAAAATTTAACATATTGCATGGCATGTTTTCATTGGCTTTGTGTAATGTAATAATTGTTTATTCCTCATTGGTATGAACCTGTTGAACCCTCTGCTACCAAGAGTTCCATGCAGATAGCCTAGTACCTCTGCCACATCTTGCACAGTCCATTTAGTATGTAAGATTTTCATGTTATTGATGAGTGTACACATCAGAATGAGACTCAGAGTGCATTTTGGTCGCAAAAGAAGAAAAGTCTACATGGTGTGGTCTTTGGAGGAGAAACTTCTCTTGTGAAAGCTGCGCCGTGCCGAATGAGTTTTGGGGTAAATGGCTGTTTGCAGCAATTCTTCCCAGTGGTGGTCTGAATAGACCAAAAATATTTTGAATACCCTGTAAATATCAGTAATGGTAGTAATGATGACATGTAGCTCAGTAGCTACCCATATTATGTGGAGCTTTCTGTTTAGCGTTCATAGCTCATACACTCTCTTTTTTCAGGGTCGAAAGGTATCGTCCAAAGAAGCTCGAGGATCTGATATCGCATGCTGACATAATTAACACAAGTAAGATAACACAAGTATAATTACAAACGAATGTTTTGAAAAATGTAAGTGTTACATTAAATGTTATTGTATTGAATGGACATAAAACTGTACATGTTGAATTGTGTTCTTTCCAATCTGGGCAAATGTGCAAAGACTATGATAGATCTTATAACCCTGGTCACTGTATCAGTGTGAACTCAGTTTTCACTCTCAGCTTCCTTAGGAGTATACATCTCAAGCTGAGGTGTTAAATGATAGGCAGTCATTATCGTAATCTTCTACTCTCTATCCATTCACTGGGAGAAGAAAGTCACATGCATTTTGGTGACTCCACATATGTTACATGTGCTTTAGTTGGGAGCAAGACCAAAGCCCTAGAAACAGTCCAGAGTAAAGTTGTAGTAACTTGTACTAGTGGTGTTCCAATTAATTGAAATAATCGAAGATTGGTCGCCGTGATCATCAGGGGTGGAAATAACTTTAAAACTGCTAGTGTATTTCGGTACAGTGGCACATGTAAAACCACTTGCCCTGATATTTTTTCCACTATAAAGGCCGATTTTCTTCTTGATTTTTAAAATAAACAACATAATTAACATTGGAAAGTCAACTGGACACCAGTACAGCATGATATGCAAATTTGCTTGCCCGACAGAAAAAAACACTGGACTGGGACGTCGGGCAATGGGTTATTTCCACCCCTGATCATACAACCAAACAATCGATGACATTTTCTCATAATCGAACACAAACAATTTTGGAACTGCTGGTTTAGTGTTTGAAACACTTTACTGAAGGAACATATAAGTTGTCAGGGCCTGAAAACGTGTTTAATTCTTAGAAAACTCACTTCACTTACTGAAAAGTCATGACTGAAGATTCCTTGAAGCCTCGGGGAAGTTTAAGTTCATGATATATTAGCTGCATCATTTTACATTGGATGTGAAATTTGCAAACACAAGTTTCGCAGTTTCTAAATAAAACAAATAACAACAGAGAACAAATGTATTTTCTTTACACTTATCTGCAGTAACAACCTGAACAGGACGATCTGAAACATGATGCTAACCAATGTTTTTTTGATGATTGCTCATTGGTAATGAACCAATCATCGATTGTAAGATTTCAACCAATTCCCAACACTAACTTGTCTATGGTCACCGATCCAACATTCCGCTAACTTATCTGTATTTGTGACTTTTCCATTCTTTACATGACCAAGTTATCACAATGCACAGCGCGTCGCTGTATTTAGAAAATCCTATGCTTTGATAATCCTCTGCTTTGTTGTATTGTGCCTTAAGGTTGCGTTATTGTGTTGTAGTTGAGAGATTTGTGGCAGAAGAGAGACTGCCCCACCTGCTGTTCTACGGACCTCCAGGAACAGGCAAAACCAGCACAATCCTGGCTGTGGCAAAACAGATCTACTCACCTAAAGAGTTCAACTCTATGGTCCTCGAGGTTAGTGTGCATCTTGATGGTCCTCATACAGCAAGACATGTATTTTTCCTTATCCTGACTCATGCCAATTATGCTTGCCTCCTTCCTCTTGCGAATGATAGTGGAACACTACAAATCCTTTGAAGTTCCCTTTAAAAAAGCGGACGTATACGATTGGTGGGGCGGTGGGGTAGCCTAATGGTTAAAGCGTTGGCTCGTCACGCTGAAGACCCGGGTTCAAATCCCCACATGGGCACAATGTGTGAAGCCCATTTCTGGTGTTCCCCGCCGTGATGTTGCTGGAATATTGCTAAAAGCGGCGTAAAACCAAACTCAGTCAGTCAGTCAGTCCAAGATTGGTCGTGTTCGATTACGAGAAAACATGTTCGATTGCTTGGTCGTTTAGTCACTGCGTCCAATCTTCGATTATTTAAATTAATCGGACCACCACTAGTACCAGAAACTTTTCTTCCTCCTCTTTATATTTCTTGGTTTGTTAGGGGAAGTGGGCTAGTCTAGTGGTTAAAGAGTCCATTCTTCATGTCAAAGACCCCGGGTATGATTCCCCACATGATTACAATATGTGAAGCCCCTTTCTGGTGTGTCCCTGCCGTGATATTGCTGTAGTATTGCCAGGCCTACCAAAGAAAACTTTCCCACTGTGCAGAAAAACGCAGAAAAGCCCACATTAATCGTGGAAATAGCAACATAAACACATTACCTCACTACTTAAACAGTAAAAACGGCAACGAAAAACTATGAAACTGCCACATTTTTATATCAGTGAACTTTGACCTCTACTGCGCATGTGCATTACGATCCGGGCTTCTTTCCAAATTCTGAGCAACCGTGAATCACCTCGCGAAGAAAAAGTATTAAATATGTCGAAATAATTGCTGTCAATCGTTTCATACGAATGGAACGTAAACTAAACAAGTGTGCACACAAGTATCACGATGATAAATGCCAAATAACACAACAGAAATACTTAAAAAGGAATGTAACTTTTGTCCAAGCTGGAAAGTGTCAACATGCGGTCGAGACTTCCTCTTCCATGTGCGCATGCGCCAAATCGAAGTTGCAGGCGACTTGTTTTATGATGCAGTGTTAGCGATTTAAAGTTGCCGTTTTTACTGTTTCGGTAGCGAGGTAATGTGTTTATGTTGCTATTTCCACGATTAATGTGGGCTTTTCTGTGTTTTTCTGCACAGTTGGAAAGTTTTCTTTGGTAGGCCTGATTGCTAAGAGTGGTAAAACCCAACTCACTCACTCGCTCATAAACATTGAGTCTAGTACTAGATGAATATAAAGATATTACAAAACGAGAGGGTGTTGAATTGGAACATATTCCAATGAGATTTTTGTAAACGTTTACAAATATTGAGTTGGAATATTTTCCATATTTAAGAACCATGAATTTTGTGATGTATTTATTGCACACAGGACAGGAAAACAGTACGATCCATGATGACAAATCAAGCAGATGATGCCTGATGTAAACAAAATGAAGGGAGATAACTCAGTCATGACTATAGATGAAAATAAACAATTAAAAATATTCAATTGAATAATAATACTAATCCCTAGGACACCGAAATTGAATTTGAATTATCCACAAACCAAATGTTTTGTTTGGTTGACACATATTTTGTAAAAAACTGCTTGAATGGAGTTAAAATGTTAATTCAAAATATCAAGGTGGCAAGAGGAAATTTGGCATTATGACATCACTATCGTTGAATAATCTAGTTTGGTTACACAATACTCATCAAATTTCACCTGGTTACACAACACCTGTTAAAATAACCAAATTTATCTCATAATAGCTCTGAGCATGTGACCTTAAATTGTTTCAGCTGAATGCGTCAGATGACAGAGGTATCGGCATAGTCAGGAACCAGATTCTCAGTTTTGCCAGCACAAGGACAATCTTCAAGTATGTACCTCTCTACTAGACATCAAATTGTGATCCTGCATGATGACAGATACTCTGATATGATAGTTTGTGTGAAGATGTGGCCATTTGAGGTCACACAGGTTTCTTTCTTGATCAGCCAGTCAGCATCATGGGCTTATGTATTGGCTCATGTATTGGCTTATTGTCCAACGTGCTGTTTTCAGCCGCAGTCCCAATTCTTGTTAACGCGATAGCTCATGAATTGTAGTACTTATTGTCTTCAAATTTGGTGACAGATTACATTGGGGGATTACGCAGACACCAGTCGATTTGTGTGACCTTGACCTTATTTTCAAGGTCACCATGACTCTTTGACTACTTTTCAAACTCTAGTTAACGTGATATGTCATGCACTGTCGGACCCAATGTCTTCAAATTTGGTGACATCCCACAAATGGGGGATTACACAGACACCAGTTGATTAGGGTGACCTTTCCTTATCTTCAAGGTCACCATGCCACCTTGACCACTTTTCAAACTTATGTAAACGCGATATCTCATAAAATGTTGCACCCAATTTTAGCCTCCGAAGTGAAGAGTATATTGCCATTTCTTACAAATTTAATGTCAGGAAGTAACATAACAGATATCAGGGTAGGGTAGGGTATTAGAGGATGGGCTACTCGAGTAGAAAGTTTGGACCCGTCCCAGCCCTAATACAGACTGATACTGACATTGGATATGTGCATCTGTATCTATACATTCAAATCTACTATATTCCTGAAATATGTTCAGAGTTAGGAGAAGATTCTGAGAAGACACCATGACTACAAACTACATCACACAAAAGATAATCTTCTATGTGACCAAAAGATAAACACTAGTAAATATGTTATAATATTTCATTCTTCTTCAGCAGCGGGGAACATTGCGATGTTAGTGGCAAACACTTGTTGATATTGGTATGAATGTGGAAAGCAAGATCTGCGATAGAATTGGTATTCAGCAACCCATGCTTGTCATAAGAGGCGACTAAAGTACTGTCGGAAATGCTAGAAATATGCTTTTTGAATTATATGTAAAATTCAGAGGTATTACAGTTACTTAAATAACAAATATCACTTTAAGAAACATCTACCTAATGTAGACCGAGGGAATAAATTTTGAGACATGCCCTAAAATGTGTTTTTACTGATGAAAATACCAAAAACTTAGAAACATAACGGGTAGTGGGACATTATTTGATACAAACATTAACTGCCTGTGTTACGTCATCAGCATGCACAGTATCGACAGGTGAAATGGACACCTGAGCACACGCTCGGGGGAGGTGTCATCTCAACAGATGTTTTCTTCAAAATGTTGAATATGTGTACGTATAGTATACGTATTGGTTATGTAAGGGATCATTTGTGTATGTATGTATGTGTGGTTATTTTAAAATAAACATACGAATTACTGTACATTGGAAAGAATCCTATCACTTGTGTTATCTTATCCATTGATTTTAGAAATGTGCAACGTTTTAATAAATGTTTTACATGTCAACAGTATATTTCATTGCAAAAATATGGATGTAATTCGGTCAGTTTAATCTAGTTGTGAACATTGGCCAAAGATTTAACGAAGTCACTGGTGTAGCTTCTTTAGAATATATATATTCTTCTTCTCATAAAGTTTGTAGACCGCCCGTCTTAGTACTCCCTTGTCAAAGTTGTCAAGGATGGTTTTACGACCCGGTTTTGCTTTTGAGACGGTTCCCTGTCTTGTCTGATTTGTTTACAGTATTGTAAACTTGTTGGTAAGACATACCAACAGCTCTACAAGTTCTGTAATAAACCCTTTCTAAACTAATGAAAGGTTTACCTCTGTCTTTTTCAAGCACAAAATTCTTATAAACCTTTGCAACAATTGACTGCAAATAGTTGGCCATAGTGGACGCTGTGATAAAGATGTGCATGCATGACGGGAAACTTATTTATCAAGACTTCACATTTATATTAATATTTCTTCAATAAAGAAACGGTAATTAAGTAAAGTAACACAAACATTCAACATTTATTTGTTAAAGAAAAACGTTGATTCATTTTTTTTTACACCACCTGTATTATTAGCATAAATGTAAAGACTATTTAAGATTTCTGTTGTTGAACTCTGAAAAAATCCTAAGTTGTTGTTTTGGTACCATATTCTCTCCTGTAAACTGCCCTTTAATCGATGTGAATGTTAAATCGATTGAAATAAAAATTAGGTACACTATAGGCGAGTTGATATATTGACAACATAGTACATTTATCACCTTTATCAAAGTATTAAGGTTAAAAAGCATTTTCTATCATTTCCGACAGTACTTTAACAGGATCAGGTGGTCAGGCTCACTGACGTGGTTGACACATGTCATTGTGTCCCAAATGTGTAGGTCAGTGCTCATGAAGAAGAATAATGACAATTATTATGGATATACAACTTGTGTATGCTTGACAACGACATTAGAATCTATGTCGAAACGTCGCCTCCACAGAATAAAAGAAGTTGTATATCCATAATAATTGTCATTATTCTTCATCAACTCAACTTCTAAAATGCCCATCAAAGAAATGCTCATGAAGTTGATCACTGGATTGTCTAGTCCAGACTCGATTATATACAGACGTCTGCCATGCAGGTGAAATATTGCAGAGTGAGGCATTAAGCAACAAACAAAGGAAGGCATTCAGATCGGAATATCTTATATTTTCTATCTCAAACACAAACAAAGAACATTGTATCACTAATCTCTCTGCCAGCGAAGGTGGGTAGTATTTTAGTCATTAGACACTGGTCAGTGGTCATCAGAGTTTGTTCCTGTCTGTAATCTGAAAATGTAGGACAAATGACTTTGAATCGTTGTACACATTTAGAAAGTGGTCAGATGTAACGTATGTTATATTTGGGATTACACTTTCTCAGTAAAGTACAGATTCATGTACTTTTGGCCGGGGGAGCAGTGCCAATTAACACTTCTCAGAGGGGTACACAAAGTCCTTAGTCTAGACTACCAGTTGTCCGACTTCTATTTTAGTGGAAGTCGTGGTGGCTAAGTGGGTTGGGCGGCTGACTTTGTGTGCTGGCGATTAGGTGCCTGACTCTGAGGGTGTGGGTTCGAATCCCGGGTGGGATCATCCCAACAAAAGTACTAGAATCTGCACTTTACTAAGAAAGTGTAATCCCAAATATAACATATGTTATCTGCTAAAATACCTGCCAAAACATAATGATGTTAATTCTTTTAAATACAAAAGTCATCAATAGCATCCTCACATATCTACTTTACTCAGAAGGAGTAGTCCCATTTATGACAAATGTTACATTAGACTACTTTCTAAATGCCATTGTGTATGTGTAGCCTTTGGAGCCATGCCAATTATACTCTTGTCAGAGGTGAGGTGAAAGTGGGTTTAACGTCATGCTTGAGAATATTTCGCTCATATGACGACGTGCATGCGTGTGTATGTGTATGTGTATGTCTATGTGCGGCTGCTTGTACTAGCCCAGACTGAAGCTGGTTTTATAGTGCCAGCCCACTGAGATACCATGCCGCAGTGAAGCATGAATACCCCACTCAGACACATTATACTGACTCCGAGCCGACCAGTCCTTGTTGTACCCATTAATGCCGAACGCCAGGCAGGGACCAACAAGTACCATATTTTAACGTCTTTTGGTGTGACGTGGTCGGGGATCGAACCCGCGACCTTCCGCTCTGCGGGCGGACGCTCTAACCACTACACCACGGAGGCGGCCTCTTGTCGGAGGAGTACCCAGAGTCTGTGATCAGACATCCAAGTTATCCGCAGCAGCTTAGATCGTTGCTTTGTGTGCTGGTGATTGACTTCCTGACTCTGAGAGTGTGGGTTCGAATCATGAATGGGACTCACCCATTCTGAATTTCTCAATGTACTAGAATCTGTACTTTACTGAGAAAGTAGTCCCAAATGTAGATAGATGGCCTTTGAGGTTACTAGTTAGATCTGATTGTCAGACTGTGTGACATGGTTGATGTAATTTTGATCCTACAGATGTAACAGAGGTGTGTGAAACCAAACATACCAATCACTGGTTTAACCCTACTTGTTTGTTTGCAGGCTAGTTTGATATAACCCCAAACCAGAACAAACCAAACATATGTATACATTTTATGTCTTTGCTTTATATTTGTGAGGCAGTTTATGACAGATCTTTGGATTCGTCAGAGTCTACTGCCCTGAAAAGTCGTTTTACCCCCAATGATGTGATTTGTTATTATTTTCAGGTCTGGCTTTAAGATAGTCATTCTGGATGAAGCTGATGCTATGACTCGGGATGCTCAGAATGCTCTCAGGAGAGGTAGGTTACCATGGCAACTCAGTAGCATCAAGGAGGAGGATGTCTCTAATTATTCAAAACTTGCATCTGTGTGACCCGAATATGTGAAATGCAACTTTTGTATACATTGCAAACTGCACCAGTTTTGGGTCTTTTATTCATTGATGTAATATTAACACAAATGTAGATGAGATTTGTTTTCTTGTATTCACGGAGGTGAGCTTCAGTACCTTGTGTTTTGTTACAGTGATTGAGAAGTTCACAGAGAACACCCGATTCTGCATCATCTGCAACTATCTGTCCAAGATCATCCCAGCCCTGCAGTCTCGATGTACCCGCTTTCGATTCGGTCCGCTGTCCACACATCAGATGGTGCCGCGACTGGAACATGTCATAGCACAGGAGGGGTAAGCTGGTAGGACAAAACATCTCAACAGTAAGCTGGTAGTACAAAACATCTCAACAGTCAGCTGGTAGTACAAAACATCTCAACAGAAAGCTGGTAGTACAAAACATCTCAACAGTAAGCTGGTAGTACATCTCAACAGTAAGCTGGTAGTACAAAACATCTCAACAGTAAGCTGATAGTACAAAACATCTCAACAGTAAGCTGGTAGTACAAAACATCTCAACAGTAAGCTGGTAGTACAAAACATCTCAACAGTAACTGGTAGTACATCTCAACAGTAAGCTGGTAGTACAAAACATCTCAACAGTAAGCTGGTAGTACAAAACATCTCAACAGTAAGCTGGTAGTACAAAACATCTCAACAGTAAGCTGGTAGTACAAAACATCTCAACAGTAAGCGGGTAGTACAAAACATCTCAACAGTAAGCGGGTGTAGTACAAAACATCTCAACAGTCAGCTGGTAGTACAAAACATCTCAACAGTAAGGCTGGTAGTACAAAACATCTCAACAGTAAGCTGGTAGTACAGAATATACTCAACAGTAAGCTGGTAGTACAAAACATCTCAACAGGCAGCTGGTGGTACAAAACATCTCAACAGTAAGCTGGTAGTACAAAACATCCCAACAGTAAGCTGGTAGTACAAAACATATCTCACTAGTAAGGTGGTAGAACAAAACATCTCAATAGGAGTGTGGTAGTACAAGCATATCTCAATAGTAAGGTGGTAGTACAAGCATATCTCAATAGTAAGGTGGTAGTAATAGCATATCTCAATACTAAGATGGTGGTACAAGGTTTATCTGAATATTAAGGCGGTAGTACAAGGTATCGCTCAAAAGTATGGTGGTAGTACATGGCATATCTCAAGAGTAAGGTGGTAGTTCAAGCATATCTAAGTAGTAAGGTGGTAGTAATAGCATATCTCAATACTAAAATGTAAAGCGGTAGAACACGGTATCGCTCAAAAGTATTATGGTAGTACAAGGTATAGCTTAATAGTATGGTGGTAGTTCATGGCATATCTCAAGAGTAAGGTGGTAGTTCAAACATATCTCAATAGTAAGGTTGCAATACAATTCCTTCCTTAATAGTGTGGTAGAAGTACAAGGCTTATCTCACATGGTAGTACAATACTATATGTGACAATACTCATGTCTGACTGTTCAGAACCCTCAGTTGTGAGGGTCACTATCACGTAATGAAGCAGCAGCACGATTGCATCAGCAGGTGCTGTGGCTCATGCCAAGGGAGACTACTAATCACTAACTGTTAGATCTTAGCTATAACCACAAGTTCATGCCCAGCCCCTGCCATAAATGTGGGGATCATTATTTATTGTTAAGAATATTTCTGGACCTCAGTGAAGTGAATGTCATATTTCCATGTCAGTTGTTTCTGATGTGCACTACAAAAACTTGACTTTATTTCAAATAATTATCACCTTTTTTTCGCTTCTTACAGGATTAATGTGACAGAAGATGGGATGAAGGCTGTGGTTACCCTGGCAACTGGAGACATGAGGAAGTCTCTCAACATCCTACAGGTGAGTCATACCAGAACACCCCTTGGCTCTGCCAATGCAAAATATTAACTTCAATGCGGTCTTTGGTCATTTTCAAAATGTGTATGTGCTTGCGTACGTGCGAGCGTGCGCGCGAGAGAACATCCCCACCCACTCACCCACCCCTTTTGGATCTGCCAAGAGTGGCTGTCAGTTACCGTTTGACATCACCAGTTGAGAAAAGAATTACTACCCCATGTACCATCCTACGCCTATTCAACCCCTCTAATTCTATGTACAAAAAACTTGCCTTATATGTGTCGGTATACAGTAATTATATCTCTGCCCCTCCTTATAAACAATTTTGATGTTGACTCTTGGCTACACAGTTGTCCATGGTATTATTCTGAGAAATCCAGATCTGGAACATACCGCACTAAGAAACTAATGATAATGTACATTAATTGTCATGTCTCGAAAATACACCATTATGTGCTTCCTGGAATACTTGCCTCCAAATGTACGTACTTATATGTTTGCCCATGCAACACTGTCTCAGTGTTGAGTGATTGAGATGTTACACCTTTTAATTACAGTGTAAGATCTTCAGCATTTCGGTTTCCAATTCAGTGCTTGTATTTGACGTTCATTGTTGTAGGAAGTGAAACTTGTTCCATTTTTAGTTAGATTACTACCCAGTTTCCTAACTCATGTAAATAAAGTCAGGACTTGTGTCCTTTGTAGAGGGATTTGTATTTCCCTTAAACAATCAACACAGATGAAGACGTTTGAAGTTTCACAGGGCTCCAGATAATTTTTCAACATCAGGGAGTACGTACTCCTTATTTTTTAAATATAGGAGTACTGGAAAAACTTTCAGAGTACTGAATTGAATTTAATGGAGTATGTGATCTTGTGTTTCATTTCATATATGCTCCTCAACATTGCTACTCTTGTGTAATCTGGTAAAAAACAATAAAACAATACTTTTTTCAAATAAATACGTCTGTAAATGATTCTAAGACCATACACCACTGCTGTGGTGCATATCTGCTACTGTTTCTAAATTATTTCCTACTGTATCGTGCATATTTTTTATCCGTACATACGCCGATACGGACCTTATCTGGAACCCTGGTTTCAACTCTGGCATTGCATTGTTAAAATTTGACCTTAAATAAATTCCCACTTTTAATCATTAATTGTTTGATAAATAATTTTCAATTTGCCTGGCCAGGTCACATGGAGTTCTTGATGAATGTCTAAACTTGTGACTTATCACGGAACACCAGCTGACACACTTCACAAGGTTCTGGTAGTCATAGTGACACGTTGTGTTGTTTCAGAGTGCGTCCATGGCCTACGAGGAAGTAAATGAAGACAACGTGTACACCTGCGTGGGACATCCTCTCAGGAGGGACATCGAGAACATCGTCAACTGGGTCCTCAACGAAAACTTCACAGCGGCGTACAACAGTATCCTTGAGTGTGTTAACTGTGATCTGAGAAACTGATAATGATTATCTATTCTGGGGTGTACTAACTACCGACCCATGACCTTCAGTATGGACTAGTTACAGCTATGACTCACAGCTCGTCTGGCTTTTTGTGATTAAATTTATATCTGACACAGCTGAGGTATAACAAAAAGATGTTTAAAATGTGTCCTGCCCATAATACTGCGTGGCCCTTGGCATCACTGCATGCACATCTCCCTGTAAACACAGTAACTGCAACATTACGCCTAGTTTCACCTTAGATCTCCTCAACACACCTGTTGGCATCACTGCATTCACATCTCCCTGTAAACACAATAACTGTAACATTACGCCTAGTTTCACCTTAGATCTCCTCAACACACCTGTTGGCATCAGTGCATGCACATCTCCCTGTAAACACAACTGTAACATTACGCCTAGTTTCACCTTAGATCTCCTCAACACACCTGTTGGCATCACTGCATGCACATCTCCCTGTAAACACAACTGTAACATTACGCCTAGTTTCACCTTAGATCTCCTCAACACACCTGTTGGCATCACTGCATGCACATCTCCCTGTAAACACAGTAACTGCAACATTACGCCTAGTTTCACCTTAGATCTCCTCAACACACCTGTTGGCATCACTGCATGCACATCTCCCTGTAAACACAATAACTGTAACATTACGCCTAGTTTCACCTTAGATCTCCTCAACACACCTGTTGGCATCAGTGCATGCACATCTCCCTGTAAACACAATAACTGTAACATTACGCCTAGTTTCACCTTAGATCTCCTCAACACACCTGTTGGCATCACTGCATGCACATCTCCCTGTAAACACAATAACTGCAACATTACGCCTAGTTTCACCTTAGATCTCCTCAACACACCTGTTGGCATCACTGCATGCACATCTCCCTGTAAACACAGTAACTGTAACATTACCTAGTTTCACCTTTAGATCTCCTCAACACACCTGTTGGCATCACTGCATGCACATCTCCTGTAAACACAATAACTGCAACATTACTTAGTTTCACCTTAGATCTCCTCAACACACCTGTTGGCATCACTGCATGCACATCTCCCTGTAAACACAATAACTGTAACATTACGCCTAGTTTCACCTTAGATCTCCTCAACACACCTGTTGGCATCAGTGCATGCACATCTCCCTGTAAACACAATAACTGTAACATTACGCCTAGTTTCACCTTAGATCTCCTCAACACACCGGTTGATGTTGACTCCATCGTCTTGACACCGAATGATTATTCACATACACAGAGTTGTTTCTGTGATGCAGCACCCTGATGCTAATTGTACACCTTGAAGATGTACCTGAAGTATTGGTTATACAGGATCATATGTCTTTGGACCGCCTCCGTGGTGTAGTGGTTAGAGTGTCCGCCCAGAGAGCGGAAGGTCACCGATTAACTGAAATAATCGAAGATTGGTCGCAGTGACTAAACGACCAAGCAATCGATCATGTTTTCTCATAATCGAACACAAACAATTCTGGAACACTTGTTTGCATAAACAATATTTTTCACAAGGTTTGTTTTGTCTGTTACATTTCATGACCACTACAAGCTCGTTCCAAGTCATGGTTGAATTTATCTTCAAGACTCCAAGAAATTAATGTTCCTAACCTACTAGTCATCCTTTAAAGATGTGAAATTTGCCAATGCCTTTTGTGCAATTTGCAAAAACACCAAAGAACTACGGGGTTTTTTCTTTATTTTTTTTGTCCATTAACAAAAATAATCAGGAAAATTTCATAAATGACGCTAACCAATTATTTTGATGATTGATCAGTTGTAATGAACCAATCATCAATTATGAGATTTTGACCAATTCCCAGCACTACTGTCCATGTAATAATAGATGTTAAAATATGGTACTTGTTGGTCCCTACCTGGTGCTCGGCATTAATAGGTACAACAAGGACTGGTCGGCTTGGAGTAGGTAAAATGTGTCTTAGAGGGGTATTCATGCTTCACTGTGGCATGGTATCTCAGTGAGCTAGCACTATAAAACCAGTTTAAGTCTGGGCTAGTACAAGCAGCCACACAAACACGCATGTCGTCATATGAGCGAAATATTCTCAAGTAAGACGTTAAACCCCATTTCACCTCACCTCATGTCTGTATTTGTTGTTTAACACCACACTCTACAATACTCAACTATATGGAGGCGGTCTGTATATAATGCAGCCTGGACCAGACAATCCAGTGGTCAACATCATGAGCATCAATCTACTCAATTGGGATACAGTGACATTAAGTTACCATCGTGATGTATGTTTGGTCAACTTCAGTTATCTCCCTTACCTATGTGAGACATCAGCCACCTGAAGGTGGCCAAAGGCCTGGCCCTCCAGGACATCCTGACCGAGGTCCACCAGTACGTCCATCTAGGTAGGTCAACACTTGATTGTCATATTGGATTCACAAGAGGAGTCCGCCTCCGTGGTGTAGTGGTTAGAGCGTCCGCCCGGAGAGCGGAAGGTCGCGGGTTTGATCCCCGACCGCGTCATACCAAAAGACGTTAAAATATGGTACTTGTTGGTCCCTGCCTGGCACTCGGCTTTAGTGGGTACAACAAGGACCGGTCTGCTCGGAGTCAGTATAATGTGTCTGAGTGGGGTATTCATGTTTCACTGCGGCATGGTATCTCAGTGGGCTAGCACTATAAAACCAGCTTTAGTCTGGGCTAGTACAAGCAGCCGCACATACACATACACACGCATGCACGTTGTCATATGAGCGAAATATTCTCAAGCACGACGTTAAACCCAATTCCACCACCACCACCACAAGAGGAAGGTTTTACACTGGATATACCAATATTCCAGCAATATCATGTTGGGGGACAGAAACAGAAGTTAGCTTCACACATTGCACTCATGTACAGAACTGAACCAGGGTCTTCGGCCTGACAAGCAAATGCTTTAACCACTAGGCTACCCCACTATTCCAGTTGATGAAAAAAACTTTGGCCATGCAGAATATCAATATTGCTTTGGCTGTATAGGTTATCAATTTGACTATGGTCATAGAGATATACTTACTTTGGCCATACAGATTCTCAAAGATTATGATTGGCTCGTCACGCCGAAGACCCGGGTTCGAATCCCCACATGGGTACAATGTGTGAAGCCCATTTCTGGTGTCCCCCGCCGTGATGTTGCTGGAATATTGCTAAAAGCGGAGTAAAACCAAACTCAATCAGTCAGTCAGTCAGTCAAAGATTATGAAAATTATATCTGGCTGTACAAATTGTCAGTTGTATCATACTAGGAATTATCAAAATAATTTTACATGTAAACAAAGTTACTTTGGCCCAAAACATTATCAAAATTGCTTTTGTCCAACAGATTATCAAAATAACTTTCGGCAGACAGAATATAAAGTTACTGTAGGCCATTTGAATTATCAAAGTTACTGTAGGCCATTTGAATTATCAAAGTTACTTTAGGTCATCTATTATCAAAGTTACTTTAGGTCATCTATTATCAAAGTTACTTTTGTCTGTATTGATTATCAAAGGTACTTTGGGCCATATGAACAATCAAAGGTACTTTGGGCCATGCAAATAATTAAAGTTGCTTGAGGCCATGTGAATTATTAAAGTTCGACTGTAGGCCATAGGAACATTTTGAAAGTTCCTTTAAGGCCATACAAATAAATACAGTTATTTTGCGCTATAAGAATGATCAAAATTACTTCAGGCCTTGTGAATGATCAAACTTACGTTATGCCATCTTAATAACTGAAGTTACTAAGGTCACATGAATTATCCAATTTACTAATTGACAGTTGCTACATTGTTCCTCTCTGCCTCAACAGTTGACCTGCCAATCCATGTGCGAGTCTATCTGCTGGAGAAACTGGCTGACATAGAGTAAGTGTACCTTCAATACCATAGGGGCCAGAACTGACGGAGTGGGTAAAACAGCAGCAGCAGCAGCAGCGCCGTTATGTACAGTCCTGATTCGTTGTTGTGAGTTTGTTTCAGAGATAATTAATTCCGACATGCTGGTCTGACTGTTCTGACTTGTACTGAGAATATAAAAAAGCCTTGATGCAGAGTGATTTGAAAGTTCACCTGTAGTGTGGAGAGGCCTCGAGACTCTCACTTGGAGTGGTATTATATCACAGTAAAAGATATGATTTAACTGAAACAGACCAGTGGCTATGGGACCTTTACTGAAATATCAGCTTCCATTCCTGGGGAATGTGACTGGTCACAACATCTTGCTTATATTTCAGGTATCGCCTGGCATCAGGAACCAGTGAGAAGATCCAGCTGAGCTCCATGATTGCTGCATTCCAGACTGCACGAGACCTGCTGGTCAGCGAGGCCAAGTGACCACCTTGGATACTGTGGGACAAGTGACACAAACTTTGACACTGTGGGAGGTGGTTAGCGTGGCCCTGTGACACAGACTTTCATACTCACGGAGGTCTTTTTATCTAGGTCTCGTGACACAGCCTTTGACACCATGGAGGTTGTTAGCAATGCAAAGTGATACAGCCTTTGACATCATGGGAGGTTGTTAGCAATGCAAAGTGATACAGCCTTTTACTCTATGGGAGATGGTTAACAAGGCCAAAGCTACCTTTGTATAAATTGTATATATAAATCAGAATGTCATCTTGCATTGTGTTCATGTTTTCATTGAGGCCATGTAGGGTGATGAATTGATGATATTCCGTCTTCATGAAGGGCCTGGATAACCTAGAGGTGTTGTTTTTCATGCTTGAGACACTGTGGCATTCGAACAAGGTGTTAAACTCATTCCTATTGTATACTGGAGTGAAATGTCATAGACATATGAGAACATCCTTATTACATTACACTTTAGAAAAAAGTTAGGACCACACAATTTTACTGATTACTGTGTTATTACATTTCCTGCACAAACTTTTCAAATTTATAAATTCTAGGTAATACCCAAAGTTGCAAACTGAACGTTAACCCAGAAATCTATAAAACCAGAATTCAGTGTGAAACCAACAAATAGCAAAATGAATACATGACACATTTTGATCTTGCGGGGGGTATTAAAATGAACTCCATCCGTGCGTCCGTGCACATTTGTCTTTTCCGGAGCATAACTTTAAAACCGTTCAATGTTTCTTCACCAAACTTGGCACATAGATAGATCTGGTGGTCTACTGGTGCCTTTTGGTAGTTTTGGATTTCTGATTAAAATACTTTTTGTGTTCCATGGCAACAAGTTTGACTTAAGCTGAAATTGGTGGTAGTGCTCTTTTCCGGAGCAGAACTCTAAAACCGTTCAATGTTTCTTCTCAAAACTTGGCACATAGATAGGTCTATTGGTGAACTGGTGCCTTTTGGTAGTTTTGGATTCATGAATAAAATATTTTGGGCATTTCCATGGCAACAAGTTCGACTTAGCCTGAAATTGGTGGTAGTGCTCTTTTCCGGAGCTGAACTCTAAAACCGCTCAATGTTTCTTCACCAAACTTGGCACATACATAGATCTGGTGGTGTATTGGTGCCTTTTGGTAATTTTGGATTTCTGAATAAAATATTTTTGGCATTTCCATGGCAACAAGTTTGACATAGACTGAAATTAGTTATAGTGCTCCTTTCTGGAGCAGAACTTTAAAAACCTTTCAATACTCTCCTTGCACTTTTCTATATACACACCTAAATATTTGACATAATCATAACTCGTAGACATAATCATGAAGAATATTTTGCTATTGCGGGGGATATTGATGACTTTGTCTTCTTGTTAGGAAGTTATTCTCATGTATTCATGTTCATCCAAATCGCAAAATGTTCTACAACTGTCAGTTATATTATCAAATTCACTAGGTTCACAAGCCTGTACAAATCACTGCAAGCAAAGTAGTCACAATAACGATTGTAGGAAAAAAGATCCGCAGGAAAAAAGTCCTCGGTAAAAAAGTCCTATTGTAATAAAAACCTATTTATTCATCAAGTTTGATGTCAAATATTTTAGAAAAATATTGATAGCTCACACATATGGGTTATTAAATAGTCAAATTGATCTTTTATCTTTTTAATGACTCAATAGACATTCCCGACCTATGCTGTATGGCGTGGCGTGGCGTGGAAACAGAATGAATATGAGTCAGCAGACATTAATATTCTGTAGTAGGAGTAAAGCTGAAAACCTCTAATGTATACAGGATCTGTCTATTTTACATTTGTTGTATGAAAATACAATACATGAATGTCACTAAACGCTATGAAAAACTAAAAAAAATATTCTTTTGTCAAAAATTCATTTTTCAAAATAGCACTTTTTTCTGAGGATTTTTTTCTGCCCACCACAATAACAGTTCAAACAAGAGTTGGAATACAAGTTGTAGTGGCAGCATTGAACTATATCAGTGTCTGATAAGTCAGCGATTATAGAATTATAACCTGGCTGCACAAGTTATCAAGTTTCCCAAAATAGTCCTAAAATGTTAACTTCACACCTACTGCTTATCTTGATGTAATATGAGAGAATAGGGACATGTGTTTGCCTACATATGTAGTCCCGATTCCTTCTTGAAAGTTCTATACAATTCTGGATTAGTCCACATCCTCCAGAAGATTCCAGATTACACTGGGCGACGAAAAGCATCAAAATACAGTAGTTTCAGCACAAAGGCTAACATTATTTAGTAATACATTCATGACAACTAAGTATTTACAAAAAAACCAATGTTATGAAATCTTCTGACTCTTAACTTTAAAAAGTGCAATATAACTTTGGAATAATTACACTTATATTCAACACTAAAAAAGATTGAAATGCATCTTCACAGAAAGAAAGAGGTCAGGACAACTCCAGTTATCATTGGACAATACTTTACATCAGTCTGGATATTTAGATAAAAACAAGTCAATGTCCCAGTGTTAAAAAAATTAAATTTTGCATTATTGAAACATATATTCCCCAACACCTGCATAGTAACATACATCGGGAAAGCCAGGAGTATTTTCTTAGAAGTCTTTGAAGCGGCAGTAAAATCTCCACCACCTTCGCGGATTAATCACGAGAAGCTCTTTGACATCCACCGCTGTATCACCCACGATGAACAAACAACTATCACTGTCACTGAAGTAAACACCGGGGTTTTGTGTAATGACGTTCAGTTCTATTCAGTTTGCATTTACATGACGTTCAATTGAAGTAACTGTTGGAAAATGGTTTTGATTGTTTGAATAAATATGATATGATATAAATGCTGCAATCATCCCCAATATATACTCAACCAAGATATCGCGCGTGACCTCTCGTTCATTCAGCGATAGGTTGCTGGAAACCAGTTCCATTCCTGAATCCCAAAATGGTATTCAAGGTGTGCATCTCATTGGAAGGAGTCGACCGGATGTAAGTCTTAATAGCGCATGTTAAAACTAGCACTTCAAAGGCAGAATGAAAACTAACAGATCAGGGTCTTAGTTTATACGGGTGTAATTGAAGCTAAATTGCGGCACCGCACGCACTCACTTAATTTTATATGTTTTTTTTTCAGTTTTAAATACGATTTTATGTGTTTTCCTCGTTGAGCCCAAATATCCTCCAAATAGACCACCCGAATCCCGCAAACTGGGAGTTAGCAGCTAACTATGTTTAACATCTACACCTGTCATTGAAGTTGCCGGTGTGTTCAGTGACACCCACACAACCCTATAACAACCACACGCAACCCTATAACACAACCTTATAACACAACCCTACACAACCCCACACAACCCTATAACAACCCCGCACAACCCTATAACAACCATACACAACACGCACACTACCACAGACACCGACCAGACTACCGATACCATTTGTTTATACTAATTTCAAAGGCTAGACACCCTCGTCACAGTCTCACAGTCCCGGAACAAGAGCATTTTCCCATCCGCCTCATTCACAGAGTCCATGAAGTAAGTCTAGATTTTCTTTCCTTTTCAGTTTCAAAATCTAAATTCTCACGTTAGCCTACCTTGAAATCAAACCGTGTCGAAATGCATGGATACATCTACGGAGAGCGGGTGATCAGGCGCGTATCGGCTGGTGAGGCTCACTGACTTGGTTGACACACGTCATCGTATACCAACTGCGAAGATCGATGCTCATGATGTTGATCACTGGATTGTGTGGTCTGACACGATTATGTAGATATTAGCTGGAATATTGCCAACAAACAAATCAAACACAGGAGAACATGGCGGTCAAAGTTCTGACTGAGGAAAACTCAACAGAATGATGTAAGTGACGAGAAACAGTAGCTACTGATATATGTGAGCCAGACGCCATCGTTCTCCATTCTCCGTTTTACCTTTAACTGAATATTTTATATGCGATTGAAAGCATCATAAGAGGTTTTTACTCTCATTGCATGCAAACATTTTAAGTTGTCATGTGCTCTCAGTGCATGCAAGCATTCTAAATGGCCATGAACTCTCAGTGCATGCAAGCATCGTAACAAGAACATGCAAGCATTCTAAGTGGTCATGTACGTGCATTCGTTTCAATCAACAATGAATTCTAGCTGTCCTTTATGTTGGTAAATAAATGCTATTCATGAATATTTCCATCTTTCCCCTCAGCATTATCTGACCTTCATCATTACCTTAGTAGTTTGTCCATTCATCGATCTTGATTCAAGTCGTAATTAAGCTACTGGCAATACGACTATCTGATATGGAGATGGTGCAAGCCTAATAATATTAAACATAATTACACTTGAAGCACTAAAACATCGCGGGACAGTAAAACTGACGTAAGCTGAACCCTTGGCGATCCACTCACGGACACTCATCTGTGTGGTGAGGTTAATATTTAGAGACGGAATGACTCCTTTCTTGTTCTAACTCCATTGTGTCTTTCTTGTGAACTCGGTTGGGAAGTCTCATCGCTCTTTGGTAAAATTAAATTTCCCTTTTCTTCTTCCATATCGCCCCCTTGAGATGACTGTGAAAAGTCGACACCAGTTGGAGATCGTTTAATTTAGTTTTACCCTTTCAGAGTTATCAGAAGGCTGAACAAGATGTGAAGGGTTGATGGTAGACCTGAACAAGTTTTCATTCCTGCCATTAAGTCAAGGGGTGGGGTTGGGATTGCAAGAATATTAGGTACTGGAAAATGCTTAACTTTCGTAAATTGAATTCTCCAAGTTCAGCTATAGTCACTTTTTCTCTTGTATGGATTACATAGAGTTGATTGATAAGGTGATTTACCTTCACATAGAAAAACATGACCTACAGATACCAAAATGAATTATTACCCTTTCCACACTGATACTTTTGCCATGGCTGTGGGAGGGAATTGGTTCCATTGTGTCTTTCTCTTGACCTTTTCAAAAGTCACCACTTGTGCGATGACGTCATCGTTCGAATTGGCACAGGAAACAGTTTTTTTCATGTTTGGGAACAGATGAAAGTCTGACGGAGCCAGAAAAGGAGGTTGTGGCAGTTGCAGAAGGAGTTGAAACCACACACCTCGGACATCAAAAATGAACTTTAGAATTTGCCACAGGAAGGCAGTATGTTCTTGAGGTAGTTGAACTGAACTGAACTGTTTTTACACTCCAGCCACGCTCTCATTAGACGTACATATTTACAGCATTATTATGTCCAACTTATATACTCTCCCAAAAAAGAAACGCATATA